TTGCACAAAGTCAGGCAGGCAAGTGCCATTCCCACCTACACTTTAACTGCTCTCAAGCTCTGTTTAGAGGTAGTGGGATCTCATGTGCAGACACATGACACAGGAGTAGAAGCGCTTACTCTGACTGACATGGTATTATTGCAATAAAGTATACTGAGCAAATGTTATATTTAATGGGCAGAAGGGAGATGTGCCATCTTCAAGAATGTGGCTGTAATATTTCCAGGTGTAAAAAGAGGAGCCAGCTGCCAAGCTCAGCCATGGGAATTGCCCACTTGGAACTTATTGCAGTGTTCTCCCGAGGTTCCAGCACTTTTTCCTCCCGGGGACAAGTTGTTCAGAGAACTCTGCTGCTATGAGTATAGAGCAGAGGGAAAAGAGTTCTGAGGGCTTTCCATGATGTGCTCTGTGTTTTAAGTCAAAGGCAAAAAAGATCAGCCTGTGCCTGAGTCTGGTCATAATTTAAACATTCCAGATAGTCTGTGAAAAGCCAAAATCCCTATTCTGTTTTGATTTTTTTGCCGCAAAATTAGTATGACTTAGCCTGCTTGGATGCAGGAGTGAACTCAGAGTAGTTTAGCTGCTCCAGCCCTGATGCTGGAGGAAAGGCTGCCAAACCCCACTGATTTGAAAAGATCTCAGGGATGGAATATTTTGCTGAACAAAGAGAGGATTGAGGAAGATTTCAGCAAAGGGGGTGTTGATTTTATTTAATTTCTTCACACGGTGGACATTTATTCCTGGCAAAACATTGGAAACAAAGTTTTTTATTTCTCAAAAACCTTCAGCTCTTTAGAGGTGGGGAGAGGGAGAAAATGTCTTTTTCCATGAGAAGTATTTGTCCTCATCCTTGTTAGAGGCAAATGAGTGAAGCAGTGGTTTTTTTAGCATAATCACAGCTAAACCCTCTGATAAAACCAGATGGATTTCATCAGAGTAGCAGTTCCTTCAGTGAAGCCCTTGGGCAAAGGAAGGACAGTTAAGGAGCTGGGTAAAGAATGGTCCACACCTCCCCAGAGACACAGGAGGGGCTGGGAAAGGGAGAAACCCCAAAAAAGCCTGTGAGGTCAGTCTCCAAATTACTTTCATCTCCACTGTCAACACGGCGAAAAGTTAGAGGAAATACCAGTTCCTCAGGCTTTCAAAGAAGCAGAAGGTGATGTGATTGGGTGGAGTTGCTCTGCACACAGCTAATGGCAGAAAAATCAACGATATTTCTGCTTATTTCTGCTGCCTTTGTTAGGTGTGCTCAGCTGTCATGCACAGGCATTCATGATCCACATGAAAAGGATCAGTGCACCAGTGAAAAGCATGACAGGAAGATTTTAGTTGGCCTAATTCGTGGTGGTGCCTTTGAGAGCTTCTCTCCCTGTCAGGATGAGAATCTTGCTGCAGGAAAGGGTGGTCGGGTCCTCAGCCTCTCAGAAATGGGAACAAGCTGCAACCAGAGCTGAACAGGACAAACCCAAGGCTTTGCTGCCTCACATTCCCACGGGATAACTTATATGTGAAGGCACCCTATCAAAGAGCTGGAAGGCAGCCTTCTCCAGCTGTGAGGGCTGAGCAGCGAGCGAAATGTGTCTCTGGGGAATGCTCCTGTCAGATGTGCACTACGCTCTCACTGAAGCTCCATGGGGTGATGCTGCCCTCTGCTTAGCCAGGAGCTCTTCTGGCTTGCCTGTCATCTCAAAAAACATGTGGGCAGGCCTTGGAGGAGGCTGTTAACACTGCCCCAACACGATGCACAGCCCCTGCTCCCAGCTGCTTTCACAGACCCTCACGTAGCTCTTGCGCTGTGTGGTTGCAAGGAGGATTCTTTCCTGCCTTTCCCCCTCCACGGCAGCTCAGAGCAGGTGAGTGCAGGTGCTGCCAAGGCGAGGTGTCCTTGTGGCAACAATGCCTGCATACCAGGAACTGCAGCACCAACTTATGCAACATTTCTCATGGAAGACTGGGCAGAGGTGAGTATGTGCCTTTATTGCTTTAAAAGAGGTAACGAGAGGACAAAAGGGAATGGCCTCGGGTTGCACCAGGGGAGATTTAGATTGGATATCAGGGGAAATTTATTCACTGAAAGGACAGTCAGGCACTGAAACAGGCTGCCCAGGGAAACAGTGGAGTCATCATCCATGAAAGTGTTCCAAAAACATGATGTGGTGCTTAGGGATGTGGCTTAGAGGTTAACATGATAGTGCTGAGTTAATGGTGGGACTTGAGGATCTCAGAGGGCTTTTCTAACCACACAGAATCTGTGATTCCCTGATTCTGTGCTGAACCCAGGCATAGCACTGTTCAGCACCAGGAAAGTCTTTGTCAGGCTGGACTCGCTCATAGTGTGGAAATTCAATCTAACGTTACACGCCTACCCCCAAAGTTACCCCTGTTGCCAGAAATGGATGCTCAAGGTGGGGCTGCTCCAGAAGCTCCTGTTCCTTGCCAGTCATGCAACACGACGTAGCACCATCTTTTGGACTTCAACCTTTTGAGTCTCAGAGCCACAGAACTGCTAGAAAGTTCTATGGGCATTGCCCTGCTGCTAGCTCGGAGGGAACTCAGAGGAGCACTGAATGCATTGCACATAACTAAAGAAAAGGAACCCTGACTATCAGCTGACTCCAAAGATAGCTGCCTTCTTCTTTTTGTTTTTTCCTGAGTTTATTCACTGCATATATTCAAACATTCTGTAAAGCTGGACTGGGCTTGGAGCAAACTGGTCTAGTGGAAGGTGTTTCTGCCCATGGCAGGGGGTTGGAACGAGATGAGTGTTAAGGTTCCCTCCAGCCCAAACCATTCTGAGGTTCTCTGATTCTCTGATTTTACGATGAGAGTAACTCTGACAGTAGACCACTCTCCCAAGGTAATTGAGAGGTTTGAAGGTGCTGCTTGCCATTAATCTCTGGATATTCCTCTCACAAATAAGAGCTGGAAACTGATGTAGGGCAGTGGATGTAATTCTGGGACTGAAATGCACAGGCCTGCCTAATTTCACAAGGGTCTGCCATCAGTTCCAGAATTAACATTCACTAAATGCCCAGTAGCTGAGGGCATCAAAAGCAAAGCTCCTACATTTCGAGCTGTAGACACGCTTTGGCAGCAGGGTTGGGCTGGTCCTTCTTTGTACAAGGATGCTCAGAGGCAACTCCAACCCGAATTAACCCGTAGCCTTCTCATCCTCCCAGCTCCTGTCTTCTTCTTCCCCCTGCAGAGCTTGCCGTGGCCCAGTGCACCCAGCGCCCCGTTGACGTTGTCTTCTTGCTGGACGGCTCAGAGAGGATTGGGGAGCAGAACTTCCAGAGTGCCCACCGCTTTGTGGAGGATGTGGCCCGGCAGCTGACTCTGGCCCGGAGCAACAGCGACCACATGAACGCCCGGATCGCGCTGCTGCAGTATGGCAGTGAGCAGGACCAGGACGTGGTCTTCCCGCTGACCCACAACCTCACCGAGATCTCTGACGCCCTGGCGCAGATCAAGTACCTGGACTCGTCCTCCAACATCGGGTCAGCCATCATCCATGCCATCAACAACATTGTGCTCAGCCCAGGCAACGGGCAGCGGCTTGCCCGGCGCAACGCCGAGCTCTCCTTCGTCTTCATCACCGACGGTATCACGGGAAGCAAGAACCTGGAGGAGGCCATCAACTCCATGAAGAAGCAAGATGTCATGCCCACGGTGGTGGCTCTGGGGAGTGATGTGGACATGGATGTTCTGCTGAAGCTTGGCCTGGGGGACCAGGCAGCCATCTTCCGGGAGAAAGACTATGACAGCCTCTCCCAGCCCAGCTTCTTTGACAGGTTCATTCGGTGGATTTGTTAAAAGGAGGGCACACAATCCTTCTGTCACTGATATACACACTCCTGATATTACCTGTTGTATTTTCTCCCCCCTCTATGGTTGCTAGCCCAGAAGAGCTGCCCTCTGGGTCCTCCTTTCTAACCAAAATCCAGAGCTCTTTATAGATTTTCATGATGAAGAGTCATGTATCTTACATTTATGGTGCTAATTAAAGATCAAAGCAGGATACAGAGCCATATGAAATACTTCTGTAAAGCTTTGCACACACCAAGCCGTGACTTGTGTATGTACTGTAATCCTAGGAGGGCTTATCAGAGATGCAAGAAACCTTCCCAGTGTAGCAGGACCAATGAGTAACTCTAGTCTTCAAAAACTCTCAATATCCCTTAGTGCCTCTTGCTCCTCCTTTCTGGGAAGACCAGGATGGTGTGAGAGGTTTTTCTGCCTTCCACAGATGCTCCTTTGCGGGGTTTATCTATCTTAAATATTGAAAATCATCTCTAAGATCTTTATTTTCCTGCCTTGATTCCTTCTGTCATTCCGCCCTTCATCAGAACCTGCTCATCTGTTACTCCACTCAAAATTTCCCCTGAGAGGGCCAGCATGACTCCCAGCACCAACAAAATACGGAACAACTACCAGAGCTGCCTCCCAGTCATCCCAGTGTGCTCAAAGCATCGCTGGTACTTTCCTCCCACTGGTACCTGCTGAGCAATGCCCAGATTTGAACTTGAATTGTGCTGTCTGCAAAAATAAACAAATCTTTTTCACCCTATCCTGAAAAAGCCTTTTTTTCTGTAGTTGTGGGGATTGTAAAATTTATTTTCAGTGAGCAGCTGATTCTCCTGGTTTCAAGCTGGTAAATCCAGATAATCATGGAGTCACAGAATGGTTTGGGTTGTGAGGGAAGTGAAAGACCATCTCATTCCATTCCTCCTGCCATGGGCAGTTTGCTTCAAGCACTGCTCTTGAACACTTCCAGCTGTTCGTGCTCCTCATCTGTTCGTGGGAGAATCCCTCTGCCATGGTAAACTCCTTCCTATAAATTATTACCGTGGCATGGAGAATGGCAGCCCCCATAATTACAGCGTCCCCCAGCCATTCCCTCTGCTACACCCGGGAAAGCTCACAAGGCATGTAAGGAGTTTTATGGGATCCATGTTAATAGCCAGCATCGTTGCCCAGGAAAAAACACACAGACAGCAGCAGATTGGAAATCAGCATGTGATGACTTTTAGCAGGCTCTCCCAAAAGATAGAGGGTGGAAATGTTGTCCATTGACTCAGAGATTCCAGGTCAAAGGATTTACAAGCTACACACAAGAAAAATCACTTGGCAGGTGATTTCCAAGGGAAAGGAGGAGGGAGGGGAGCGAAACGCCGAGGGTTCCCAGGAGGAGTTTGGCTTCATGTTTTGCTGATCACCGCGGAGCAGGTGGGACACGCCAGACGTTCAGTCAGAGTCAGAGCTGCTGCTGGAGCCACTAGAGTGCTGGGGAAGAGAAAACAACTTTAGGACAGCAGGAAAACGAGTCTCTGTCACAGCATTCCTGAGAGGGGTTAGTGACCCTGGGGTGGCTGCCCCATATTGTGGGAGGGCTGGAGGCTTTTTATGATTTTTTTTACAAGGCTCTTAAGGACAATAAAGGAAATTCCAGAAAGAAAATTCTCGCTCTTTGCCAGCAAGGACCAATGTCACAGCACATCACTTCCAGAGCTGTTTCCCGGTGAGAGGACCGGCTGGTATGATTTGTTTGGGAAATGCTCCCACCTCCAATGTTGGAAATGGGGGCTTGTTCAGCAGTTCCTCATTCAGACCTCCACAGGATGATGCCTATCCTTGGAATGGTATTTTCTGCAAAATCTACTCCAGAGCACTCTACTCCAGGAAATTACTTCTCCTTTTTTGGGTTTTTTTTTGTGAGGTTTTTTTGTTTTTAAGGGGGAACCAAACAGTTCCTTTGCTGCAAGACACTGAGTGAATGTCCATTATGGAAGCACGACTTGCTTCATTCAGGTGAGCAGGACAAAGTCCTCGGATTTAATACACTGCACTGTGCACCTCATGCATGTCACCACTTTAAATAGCCTCAAGGAATTTCATGGACTGCTTTTCAAATTACTCACTTAATATGACTCATTCTTGCCTATTTATTAATCTAACGAGTTTCCACATCTAAAAAAAGCTACTGAAGATTGGGCAGTATTCTCCAGCCACTACAGGGAAGGAGAGGAGTCCCAGGTGCTCGGGCCAGATGTTGTGATATGGGGAGGGGGTCCAAAAGACCACAGCAGAATTAGGGAAGGGCTCACTGCTGCCCCACTCTTACCTTGCCTTCATGGTGCTTGCAGTCCTTCTTCTTATGGTGCTTCTTATGGTGCTTCTTATGGTGCTCGTGGTGCCCATGGGGATGATGCCCATGGGGATGATGCCCCGTCGGGGGGTGCCCATGGAGGTGATGGCCAGGCGGAGCAGGGCACGGGGGGCAGACTGCCACGCCACCAGGGTAGGGACCTGTGCCAGGACCTGCATATCCAGGAGGGGCGGGAGGGCACACAGCAAGGTGTGGTCGTGGTGCGCCTAGGAAGAAGAGGGGGCTGTTGGTGGCCAGAGACAGGCTCTCCCCAGACAGACAGTGCAGGGAGCTGGTGTACCCCGCCACACAAAGGGCCCACCCCGGTCTACCTCTCCCTCCCAAAGGACACCCCCCAACCCTTTGGGATGGAGGTAAACCCCCAGGTGTCTGTGGCCATGGCAGAGAGCTCCCCTCTAAGCCCCGATGGCTGTGTGGTACCCACAGCCTTGCCTGGCCCCATGGCCCCTCACCTTGGTTGGGATCACACATCCTCAGCGGTCTCCAAGCTGAAAGGGAAGGACAGGCACCATCAGTCACCTCCTGCCATGGGACATTGCCCGGCCAGCAGCTGGGTCCTGTCTCCTCTGTCCCACATGTCTGCCCCCAGCACAGAGACCATGCTCGCTTCCCCAGGAGTGCCATCCCCCCCAGATTCTGACCGCTGTCCTATCCCTTTGCTGACAGTGCCCACCCCCACAGAGACTGTCCCCCCTCCAAGCACCCGCAAAGCCCAGACGTGTGGTTTCCATTGCTAATGGACATAAACCCATACTGGCCCAGCGTGGGTGCCAAGCTCAGGTCCCCGTGGGCCACAAGGGACTGGGGACATGTGCCTGGGTGCAGCGCCAGCCATGGGGGCAGTGCACCCTGACCCACGGGCGCCTATGCTGCTGCTGCCGCCCCCGTGCTCTCCCGCTGCCCTGCGCTCACCAAACCTGCGGAGAAGTTCCCAGAAGAGGCAATGCCGGAACCACTCGGGATTCCGTCCTCGGCACGGCTCTCCCGGCTGTCGGGCACCCTTAAATAGCGGAGCCCTGCCCCGGTGAGCCGGGGTGAGGCGGGCAGGGGTGACACCGGAGCTCTGTCACCGCGCTGTCACCATGGACACGCGAGAAACGTCAACGTGCCGCTCCCAGACGGCACAAAGGTCCCACGGGAATGATAAACACAGACGATGGAGGGCGGAGACTCCAGCCCCCGGCGCCAAGGGATGGATGGAGTGAGTCAGCTGGCCCCACCGTGAACCCCAACTCGGTGCTCCCCGCTCAGGCACAGTGCCCAGGAACAGGGGGGGTGACCTCGCCACAGACGGGGCCGCGGGACAGCAGGGTGCGGGGGCCAGGCACTGCTCAGGGTGCTGCCTCGGTGTGCGGGTGGAGGACACAGGACCTGCTGTCACACCCGGTCAACAGGGAGAGGAGGCAGGGCTGGACGCCCTGATGTTCAGGTTTTCCTCTTGGAGGATCTACGAGGAAGGTGCAGGGTTTCTCCCATCTCAACACACCCCACCTCCGTGCTAACATCCCTGATGGTGCCTCGTGTTTGACAGTGCTCTCTTCTCAGGCAATTCAACAGGCGGAATTGTCACACACGTCCTGAAAGACACCTGGCAGAAAGGGACTGTGCCAGGTCCTAACCCAGATCTCGGGTAGGAGCGCGATTCATGGGGGTTTCTGGACACAGGGACTGTGCAGGGTCAGGACGTGCTCACGCAAAGGGATCTCCTTGCAGGCAGTGCCACAGGGATCCTGCCATCCCGCCATCCCTTCTGTTGGGACCATTGTGGTCCCAGGCACTGCCAACCCAGACGTCTACTTCTGCCGCAGAGATGGCAGGATGGAGCCTGGGGTCCAAGTCCCAGACAGCAAAAACCCCCCTTGTCCAGGGAGACGCCAAGGGATAGGATGCTGGATGTGCCTGAGCAGAGCAGCTCTCCAGAGCCGGATACCAGAGAGCCTAGGCAGGGACAAGAGTATTTCCCAGCTGTATTTGCTACTGCAGACCCCCCCAGAGCACTCCCGAGCCCTTCTCAGGCCACCCGCTTGTCCAGCAGTGCCAGCACGACCGCCGAGCCTTGCTTCGCCTCTTCCAGCATCCCGGAGACCTTCTGCGACATCTGTATGGGGACAAGACGCGTCACTTGCCACTCGTCAGGCCAGAATAGCCATCCGCTGGCCGCAAAGGGACACGGCGGCGCGGCTCGGCTCACCACACGCTTGAACTTGTCGTCGGCGATGTCCTTCAGGTTGATGGTGACATTGAAGTAGGCTCCGAACACGGCCGCTTCCAGCATCTTGGCTGCCACCTGGGAAAACTCGGGCTTGCCAGAAGCTGTCCTGGTGAACCAGCTCCACCATAGGGAGCTGAAGCAGGTCAGACCCAGACCCTTCCTCTGCAGGACTCCCACCCCGCACCACCCAGCAGCACGCAGCGCTTTCCAGCCTGTTGGCATTCTCAGGAAGTGGCTGACAAAGAATTACTGCGTGGAAACTCCTGGCCAGTTTGGGAAGCTGGACAGATGCAGCCTGGAGATCGGGGCGAGTGTATGAGCTGGGGCCATACCTGGACATCAGATTTGCAGGCCAGGTTGCAGTGCCGTGCCAGCTCCTTCAGAGCAGGCCAGAGCCCGCTCACCTTCTCTGCCAGGCCATAGGGTACCCCCACGGCCGTCTTCAGCCCCTGCTGCATGGCAGCCGTGCGCCTGGGAGGGGGAACAGCCCGGCCGTGAGTGCTGCTTGGCTGTGTTGCCTCGGTGAGCCAGTGCCCACCAGCCCAGCTCACCTCTCCTGCTCCTCAGGGGTGTTCTTGGGCAGCTTCATGGCTTCCTGCACGCAAAGAAAAGCAGGTTTGCTGCCGTCACCTAGACCATGCCTTATATCGGGAGTCAGGGCAGACCCCATAGCTCCCACACTCTTGCAAACCTCCCTTATGTGATAATGTCCCTTCCCCTGGCCCTGGGTTTAGCATCCCTGGAAGTGTTTGGAATCAGACAGTGTTGGCAATCAGACATGGCACTTTGCCATATGGTTTAGTGGGCATAGGTGTCCTCAGTAGAAGGTTGGACTTGATAATCTTGGAGGTCTTTTCCATTCTTAATTATTTTATGATTCTAAGGTCAGAGCCCTGCTCCTAAGGAATCCAGAGCACAGCAATCCCAGCCCTCCTCTCAGCTGGAAAGCCCCCCTGTTTCCCTGCAAGATGCCTCTGGTGAGACCTCACCATGTAGCTGCTGAAGGCACGGGAATCGGCATCCACCATTGCCACCAGCTCCTCCATGGCCTGATGGAAAGGGGGGATCAGCTTCCTCATGATGGGGTCCAGGTCCTCAAACTGCCGCTTCCCATAGCTCATCAGCCCCACCATGCTGCCCAGCGCTGCTCCCTGCCGGGGTGAATCCTCCAGTAGGACACAGTGCCCACTGCTGCCACCACGCCAGCTCCACTTGGCACAGCCAGCACCCCCAGGGCTCCATCTCGGTGCGGGACACGTACCAGGGCTCCCGCAGCTGCGGACACGGAGCCTCCTCCTGGCGCTGCCGACCTCGCTCCGACTGCTCGCACAAAGGCACCCAGAGGCTTGGCCACCAGCCCTCCATCCACCTCTCCAGCCTCCACCAAGTACCTGCAGCACAGGTGGTTTACAGCACTCCACGTGCACCAGACAGACCCTTCTCACCCAACACCACCCTCTCCAGCATCGACCCTGTGGATGAGTAGGGACCTGACCCCAAAAAACCCAGCCTAAGCGTCAGGGTAAGGACTGGGAACCCCGTGGGGAACTGGGAACCCCGTGGGGAACATGGAGACTGGGAACACAGGTGGTGTGGGGGTTGCTGTGCATTAGGCAGGTTGGACCGATGCAAACATCCCTCCCTGCAGCCATGGCCCAGGATGGGAGACAAGAACTTCACCTCATGGGTGGATTTCCCTTCCTTTCCCCCCACAGACTCATGTTTCCCACCAGGTGCTGCAGCATGTGCACCAGAGGCAGTGAAATTTTGCATGGGGATAGGGTAAGGAATTTAAAATTCAAATCTGGCCACGAAACCTGCTCCCACTGCCTGCTGAAGCAACCTGGAGTTCCCCCACTTCCCGTTCAGAACCATCAGCATTTGGGAGCAGGGACCACCCTGTTCCTACACAACACCCAGCAGAGATGTCCCAGGCTGTGTAGATGAGCTGGGAGTAGCCACCACTCCCAAAACAAGCTGAGTGCATGATGTAGGCAGCAGGATCCCCCATCCAGGAAGGAATGGGCACCATGACAAGAAGTAGAATGTGGGTCCCTACTCGATGATGCGTTCCCGGGGGTGAAATGGAGACAGGGAGTCCAGGCCCAGACGATTGACCACCTGCAAGGAGCAGCACCGCTTCGTCAGCCCTGTCACCTCCGTCCTGCTGCATCTGCATTCCCCACTGCTAATTAACCATGGGTGAGTCAGCGCTGGGACTGGGTCACCACCCAGGGAGAGGACAGCTGGCACCACCAGCCCATCCCATCCCATCCCAGACTTGGGGGTGGTGTGCAGTCACCTCCAAATGACTGGGAACTGTACTGATAAATCATTAGCTTGCTCTTATCTAGCACGTTCCCCACAGGCTAGAAAAGTCCCTCCCTCCTGCAGTGGAACAGCAGAGCCTCTCTCTTCCTTTCCAGCTTACTCTCTGTCCTGGGAGAGCCTCCCATAATGCCACACACTGTCCTTTAGTTTTGGAGACACCTCCTTTCACTCCTGGTCTCCATGCAGGCAAGACAAGCAACTGCTACCCACACTCAATCCTCACGGGTCGTGATTCCTGCTCCCTGTGCATCTGGGCATCCTCAGCACAATAAAGCAACTTGTTCCACTTGCCGTCCCCCCCAAAATCCACCCTGGAGACAAGTGTCACGCCTGGGGCCTGAGGAGTCCCAAATCTCTGCTCAGTGCCACTTTGGGAGGCTGGTGGGGAGCGGGATGTGTCCCTCTCATGATCCCACCCTTAGCAGGGTAGGTAGCAGGAAAAGCCACATTACCAGCCTGATCTTCTGTTCCTCCTCCAGGATGAAGAGTTTTTCCTTCTTGATGTAAAACTCGGCTGCGTCCAGCATAGCCTTCTTGGGAACGAGGCCCACCAGCTGAGACCCCACCACAGGGAGATTCAATTCCTGCAAAGGACATCAGAAATGTGATTTTCCCCAGAGCCCTGCTGCCACTACTACCCCAGCCTGGTGGTCCTCACCCCTTCCCAGGACATGGGAAGTTCACAGAAAAGCTTTCAACAGAGGAGCTGGGGCTCTCAGCAAGTTGCTGAGTTTCTGGGGGTTTTGTGCCATCCAACACTTTGGCTGAGCTAAGTATGAAAGAAGCCAGAGCCTGACCTGAGGGTGGGGAAGAAAACTTGGTGGGAGACTGTGGAGGGAGCAGAAAACATTCATAAAGAAGAAAGTCTCCCTGCATCCTCAGAACAAGCTCCTTGGAAAACCATAGCTTAAAGATAAGAAATGGCTTGTGAAATGATGAATACAAAAAGGAATCCAGTTCCCGCCCTTGGTAGATCCTTCGATCTCCAGTATTAGTGGCTCATTCTCTTTTAGTATCCGCAGGCCAGCTTTGAATGTAAAATCCCTCAGGGATTGGTTAGAATGTAGAATTCCCTTGATAATTGGTGCAAACTGTAAAACCCCCAAAAGATATAAAAACCCCTGTAAAACAATAACCGTTGGTATATGCTAGATTGGATGCCTTCATAGAATAAACTATGGATTTGTGGCTTTCTACATATCCTGGTTTATTTACCCCGCTGGTCTAAGAGCTCACCGCGAGCCAAATTTCTATCTGGGCAAGGCTCGGGAACGTGCTCTGTCGCTGAGGGCTGCAGAAGCGGTCTCAGAGATCCCAAAGGGAGCCCAAAAACCCAGCCAGCGACAGGAGACATCCTCTGGGAAGCCCCCTTGGGAACAAACACCCCAGGCCCCCCACCCACCTGCGCATCTCGGCATATCTCCTCATAGACGGTGTGGAGCGATGTGGTCTCAAAGTCCAGCAGGTTCGTCGAAACCTGGGCCATGTTCTC